TTATATAAAATATATATACAGAATAATTATGGTGCATAGAACTAAAACGCGCAAAAACTAGCCAAATTTAATTATAAAAGTATTTCCGCAAAATGTTTCCTCAAAATATTTCCTCTAAGCATTTCTTTTAGCATTTAGTTTAAGTATTTCTTCCAAAAATTTTCTTTAAGAATTTCGTCTAAGAAAATCCTCTAAGAATTCCTTTTTGTAAGTATTTTCTCTAAATATTTCCTCTAATTATTGCCTTTAAGTATTTCGTCTAAGTATTTCCTTTAAGAGTTTTCTTCCAAGTCTTTCCTCTAAGTATTTACTCCAAGTAGTTCCTCTTAGTCTTTAATGCTTAGCTGAACGATCATTAAATATTTACGCACACTACTTCACTTCACTTTACTGCACTGCCCGACTGACCCCACCAGGCCCGAGCGACTGAAGAAATGCTGCAGCAGCTGCCCTTTATATAGGAAGACTTTCTCACACACACCAAGTTGCGCTCAAATGTTGAGCCAATTAGAGGTCGTTGCAGTCGAGATCTAAGAGACCAATGAGAACACTCTCTGCTGCTGCAAGCACTCCAGCTTCGTTTTACACAACTAATATGATTGTCTGTAGTCTCTTTTCTATTTTATAGGCATACAATCAGAGAAACAAACGGAGAGACAGACTGTGAAATAGACAGTGAGACAGACAGAGAGACAGATATACTAAATTGGGTTGCCTCCTTACTCAAAAATGCTTGATAGGTCTAAATGTTGATATGCACTAAAATATATAATTAATAAATAAATGCTATAATCTTTTGGTTCGCCGTGTTGAGTCTCACTTAAAATAAATAAATTTCGGACTATTCTAAAAATTATATATGAAGAAACAAATAATATTAGTAAATAATGATGAATTTAATAAAATATATTTAATCAGTTCAAAAGCAAGCAATTTTATTAAGTTTATATTTGTTTTAGCATATATGTATAATATACATATTGGGCTTTAATTTAGAACTGAGTTTTCATTAATTTAATTACTAATAAAATATATTTCAAGAATAAAATATATTTAATTTTCAACTCACATTTTCTAAAAAATATTTAACAACAAAAATTATGTATATTTAAAAATAATAGTTGAATTTATTTTTGTTTTTGTTTTTTTTATTTTTAAACCTGAGATCCATTTTATTAAAATTTATTTTATACAATATTATGAAATAGATAAATATTAATAATAAAAGAGTGACTTCTTTGTTGTCCGTAAAAACATTAGATATATAACATTAATAATAATAATAATAAGTTTAACGAATATTACACCAACAATAATTAGCCCTCAGCCGCAACGCCCATAGTTAAATAAATTCCGACACACATTGCCCTCAGCTCCTATCGTCTTTGTAGTCTAACCGGAACCCCGCTCAACGACTTCAGTGTGATGGGCAAGTGCAGCCTCAATTCCTGCGGACCCGGCATATACGTATGATCGAAGACCTGCGCTATGGTCTGCTTGGCCAGGGGAGCGGGCAGAATACGGAACCGCCGCAGCAATTTCGACAGCGTCACCTTCAGCTCCAGCAGAGCAAACTTTTGACCTGTCAATGGCTGGTTAAGTAAAAGTGACGTATCATAGAGATGAAAGCATACCGATGCAATTTCTGGGGCCCGCACTGAAGGGGACATTGTCGAAGGCATTCGCCTTTGTTCGCTCAGCTGCCTCAAAGCGTTCCGGGCGAAACTCGTAGGGCGCCTCAAAGCTGTGCGGACTGTGGCCAATGGCTAGAATGGGCAGCCCAATTGTCATGTCCTTGGGCAGGTGCTTGTCCACTGTGGAGTAGATAGCTGAGCATTGAGTAGACAGAGGCTTAAGCCTTAAGCACTCACATATTGTTGTTGCTTCGCGCATTGTGCGAAAGATGAACGGGACACTGGGAAACAAGCGTAATGTCTCCTTGATGACTAGATCCAAATACTTCATGTCCTGCAGCTCCTGGTAGGTGGGATCACGCTCACGCCCATCTGCAGCGGCGTACATAAGCGCCTGCTCCTCATAGGCACGATGCTGCGCATCGGGCGACCAGGCCAGGCACCAGATGGCAAAAGTGATGGCCGAAGCAGTTGTATCATGGCCCTAAGGATTTTACATAATTTATTATAATATTTATTTATTCACTTCATTT